CCCCCCCTTTGTCAGAGTAGCTGTTCCCAATTAAGCTAATTAGCATTCTGATGTTCCTTCTCATTCCTTTGCACTTTGCATTATGTGGGAAATGCAGAAATATTTGGGAAAAAATGTGGTTTAGACTTGTTTTTTGTTATTTGTTTTGCATCTAAATTGATTTCTGATCCACCAATGACTTCCAAAATGATCCCGTCTGTGACTTTGATCATATTCCTACAACATTTTAGCAGCTTTCCAGCAGAATTACTCTGTTTCCGTGTATTCTTTTTATTCCAGTGGTGGACCGTGCATTTCACCCCTAGGCCTTCAGTAGTGCTCCGTCTGAATCAATTCACCCCTCTATAACTATTTTATGGTTATAGAAATCTTATTATGTAGAAATACAGTGTGGATGTCCTGATCCAGCTTTTTGTCGTAAAGTCTAAAGTTATATATCTACTTACTTAGTTGTCAGACTCATGTTGAACAGGGATTTACTCTGAAAACAACTTAATGGTTAGGACACAGACCTGTGGGTTAGCAGATGCTAATGCTAATGCTAATGCTCGTGTGGGATCGGACTCTTAAAAAAAAATGGATCTGGAGTTTGGATCGGCCTTTTCTCATGCCGGCCGATACGATCCAAATATCAGATCGGGACCAGCCTAAAATACAGTATAAAGATCAGAGGTGCACAAGTCTTCTAATATTTCAGCTACAGCAAAAAACATAAATAATATCCTCATAAACTCGCGATATTATTCAGGAAATGGCAACATTTTACTCACTTACTTTTCTTGAAAAGTCCGTTTTGAAAATGGTCTTGACAGTAAATCCGCCACCAAATCATAAAAGAGCTATTACACCAACACAACTATATTTCGGTTTGTTTGCTAGCTTGCCGCTGATTGGATATCTGACTATCCAATCAGCGGGCGTGAATACGGTGACGTTGCCTAAGGCCTTCTAGAAGGCCCTGGTGTCACCAACCTAAAATCTGATTGGTTGAAGCAACAATGT